AAAGATTAATGGCATTTCTGGGCAACGGATGGGAAAGGCAAACTTCTCTGCTACTCAAGGATTAAGCCTTAGACTAGAAGCAGACTGTCCCTGGCCTTTGCCGTGAGGTTATCTCCCAGGGAACATTCAAGCTGTTTCCCGATAGTTCTGTGCTAACGGCAGCCAACGTTTTCTAGCTAGTAAGATTACATCCTTCCGGCCAGCATGCAGAGTGGTGCTAAATTTCTTCTGTCTGTCTCGTTCTCATACACACACTTGTGTGAGAAACACACACATACCAAATCAGTATCTGACAGAAAGAATGGACAGAAGATAAGCAGACCAGAAAGCATGAAGAACATTCTAGCATAACCAGTGTCAGATTCACTAGTGTCTGGGGCCAGAATATAAACCCAGAATTGCTTGCCCTTTCCTGCATCTGGCTGGAAATGCTGCAAATAGGAAATATTGAGCAAAATTAATTAGCTAATGAGGACCTTAAATGACAGCATTAATAATAAAGCAAAGTTTTCTTGAGTCAATAGAGGTTAAGTGGTAATACTAGTAAAATGGTCATCATTGATTTTCTCCTTCGAAGGCAATAAACAACCTTCTGAAAGGTTGGATTATTAGAACTCCCTCCTTGGCATTCGCTGTTTCTTAAAAGAGGCCTAGCGAAAGGTTTTTAAAAATTATTACCACTTTTTGCAGGGCCCCCGTTTGAGACAGAAGCCCAGGAGCTGTGTCGTCTTTGGAGAAGCCCTTACAGGGAACTCTGTCGGTTATTCATGGCTTGTTGCCAACAAGCGACTAAGGCATTCACTAAGGGCTTCCAAGAAGTTGCTGCAGATTATATGAAACGTTATACCTGTAACAGGCGTCCAATGTATTAGCCGTGAAAGAAATGGAGCACGTGTGGGAACAGACTGCAATTGGTGACAGGGTGTTCAGCAACGTCGGCAGAGATGAGTTTTAATTACACGTCATAGAGAATAGCAGGCGCGAAAACAGAAAGGTTAGATGATGTGGTATTTTTGGAACACACTTCTAAATATCAGTCTAGAATCATCAAGGGGCAGCTTTTAACATGATGTAGTGGAAAGACCCAGGTAGAGATGGGAACAAAGACCCTGAGTGTGGACTCAGCTTGTCCAGGTGGGATTTCCCTGGTGTAGAAGGGAGACTGTCCCTGGTCCAGCCCAGGACGCCCTCTCAGGTGCGGTGTGTGCCAGTAGAATCTTCATCATTGAATAACTCTATAGTTGTGGTGAGGACACGTGTATCTGATTATGGTTAGGGACGCTCCTTTTATAAATGAGAAAAATGCTCAATGACTCCCTCGGCTTAACAGGGAGGGCTCCTAGTGCGGCTAAATGGAGGGGAAGTTCTTTTTTAGCTTATTAAGGTGAAATGCCTATGAAATCTGATCAACCTGACTTCTTCTCACCTTTAAAAATAAGCTAAGGAGAGAGAGATGTGGTGCATGAGGAGTTACCCTGGCCTCCAGAAGGCTGCAGGGAGGGTGCGTGTGTGCACAGGGGGGCTGTTCTCCCCGGATCCTTGCCATTATTGGCTGTGCAGGGGCTGCTGGAGCTGGTTTCCACATTGGCCTTATCAGACACCCTTCGGGCGTCTGGCTGTCAGTGAAGTCTGTGGTTCCGGGCACCTGCCTCCGGCTGCGAAATCCATACCTAGGACAGCTGTGCCCCCATCATGGCCTCTGCAGAGGCCCTCTCCGGGACACTATAGGATCTCTCCCCAGAAGGGCTGCCTCAGCTTGGCCATCCAGCTGTTTCTTCCAGCTTTGCAGGAGCTCCCCCTAGCACCAGGCTACACGTGCCTTAACCCAGTGTGAAGGGTCCCGGCACCCCTGGCCCTCTTTTGTAGGCCCTCAGTTTCCTTCTTCGCCTTCTATCCTCCCCTGGCCTGGTATTCCTCTGCTTTTTCTGGGAGGACTTCACCCATGTCACATTTTCCTTGTCCGGAGTGCTCTTGTCCTTTCCTTGCCCTAAACCTTGGGGCTCAGTCTTTATGGAGAGTAGGGAAACACTCCCACTGGGTGTGCAGGTGAGGCTCTTGATCTAAGAACTGGGGACTAGAGGAGGACAAAACATTTAGCATTTTTTTTAAAGATTTTTATTGGGGAATTGGGGGAATGGGAACAGTGCTGGGGAATTGGGGGAAGGGAAACAGACAAATTGCTGTCCTTTTGTTCTTCAGTCTAGTTGTGGAGGACATTGCTTCACTGGCCCAAGTTGGCACCATCATTGCGATCTTCCCAGGCGAGGCAGCTCAGTCACCAGCTTCTGGACGGCCGCTCACTGCGGCTGCTGGCTGCTCACGCTGGCTGCTGGCTACACACGGTAGCCCATGGCAACCCACTGCAGCAGGGGCTGCAGCCTACACCATCGCCACCGGCAACTCACAGCAGCCCAGCTCCAGGTTGAGCTGTTGTTCAGCATCTTAGCTGTGGAGGGCAGTGTCACTGGCCCTCATATGTGGGATCCGAACTGGGGCCCTCTGGCGTCCCAAGCCAGCTCTTAACCATCGCGCCACTCGGCCGGCCCCATTTAGCATTTTTTAAATGTAAATTCCTATCACACATTTATACTCTTTTCATCGGGTTTTAGTCTAGAAGAACTATAGAGAAAGCAGGTTAGAAAATATTGAATTCATGAAGTATGCCACCAAATTGAACATCTGTATCTTGCCAGATTTGTACTTTATGGAAATCATTGTGAAGGATAGGGGTGTTGCTGAATTTGGGGGATCTGATGACTACTCGGCATTTGTGGGTTGTAGTCTTACTGAAAACCCCTTTGAATGGTTTTTGAGCCTGTAACTCATGATTGTGTGTTCTGTATTTTTCCCCAGACTGGAGCCGGAATCCTGTATTCACTACATAATATGTATTTAATTTTAGACACGGATCACCTCTTAGGGAGGGTGTTTGCGGGAAGGTGGGTGAGAAACTATTTTTGACATAAATCACAAGTGCCAAAGAAAAGTGGTAGAATCCAAAGAATTAACAGGAGCTACGGTCTTTCAATTGCAGAGATGGTGACCCTCCCACAACTGGGCACCTTCAATTGGGTAACATTTCCATCCTTCGGTCATGTTAACAATGAAGAAAGATCCAAGGACTACCCCTTACCCCCAGCAAGCTTATTTTCTGTCTTTAGGTCCTGAGTTCTTTGATTAAATGAATGAAGGTTGGAACCTGTCAGGCCCAGGAAAATACTTTGCTCTCTAGAAGTTGCATTAGAAAACCCAATATATTGGCGACTAATTGACAAAAGTAATATTTACTCTAGACAAACATTTGTTGTATGGCACCTTCTCAGCTTCTGCTACCTTAGCTGAGTTTTGTGTTTGTTTGTTTTTTAAGAAGAAATGTATAAAATTTAAAATCCATTTGTATTGAAGCCAGTAATCAAAACCCATCTTCAGAGATCCACAGCACTCTTAATGAATGGACTATGTTAAAATGTTGACAAAGATTCAGGTTGGGGTACCAGCCCACGATCTGTCCACACAGAATGTAAATAAAAGTGGTACCTACCACCCAGTATAACCATCACCTTTATTTCCTCCACATCCATTAAATACTAATACTGTTAGGAGCGTGGGCATTAAATATGGCTTTTTTTTTTTTTAGCTTACGAACTGGTGACAGGGAACACGGTAACTGACTTCACCGTCCCCTCCCAAGCATGCACGTCTCGGACGGCTCCTGGGCTGTTTATTCTATACGTGCTCTCTCCTGCCCACAGACCGGCGGGAACAAAGATACAGTGTGAACGGGGAAGACGCGGGGACGGGGGCTGCGAGGTCCGCAGGGCGTGGACAGTGGGTTTATCCGAGGACAGTGTATGCAGGAGGCACCAGGCCTTCGGGGAGAGTTTGGGGACCAAGAAGCCCCTTCTTCAAACATCCCTCCTACAGTTCACGCTGGGCACGCAGCGAGCAGGAACCGGGCCGTCTGGGGACCACGGCCCCTCAGAGGGCTGGGCGCCGCGGCCGGGAGCCCGAGTGCTGGCCGGCGAGGGCGTGGTCACCGGGCGGATAACGGGGTGCGCGGGCGCCGAGTCTCGGGTCCCCGCCGGCGCCGGGTCCAGCCCCACGCCCCCTCCGCCGGGCGGCCCCGCCGCAGACCGCGCGGGCGGGGCGGGCGCCGAGCACGACAGAAGGGTTTTTTTTTTTTGGTCAAACTTTGGCCACGTGAACCGCCCCCCATTCACTTTTGCGCCAATCGGACGGAGCGGACGGATCCCGAGAGGGGCCACGACTCCTCGCCGCCCGGCCGCTTCATAACGCGCCGTGCGTGACGTGAGGGGCTCCTGTTGCAATGGCGAGCTGAGCCGGAGGATGTGCGGCTGCAGCGGCGGCGCCGGCCACGAAGAAGACGGGGACAGGCGCAGCGCGAGCGGAGCCGAGCCGGCCGGGGGACGCGGGCGGGACGGGACGGGAGCCCGGACTCAGCTGCCACTGCCGTCGCCGTCGCCCTGGCCCCGCGCCCCCGCGCACAAGCGGGAGGAGCCGCCGCCGCCTCGCGCCCG